TCTTTACTCTTCTAGGACATTCCTAGGAGTTTGTAGAGAGGAAAACAGAAGACATTTAATGTGTCAATAGTGTGCAGCTTAAATGGCTAGCACTGGGTAGGGTTAAAGTATACGCGACAGTAAAGAGCTTTCCTGAGGGAGGTTGAAGGAGATCTTAGCATTGGATCCCCAGGGACTCTGAGAACCATCCATTTTTTTTTTCGATATTCTCTCATAATCTTAAGTTTATTGTAGATTGTAGTCTGAAAACTGCAGGGAAAATGCTGACCACACCCGCTTGGGGGCTGGCACAGGTGCCGCTGACCACGCCCCACTTGGGCGTGGCCAGAGTGCTGTTAGCAAGGTTTTAAATATCAGGGATGCACGCATGCGGCCCTCTTTTTTTTCTCCTCTCCCGCCTGGCTGAAAGGACCATTGCGTGAGTACTCTCTTAATAAACTATCTGTGATCAATCTAGTTCTGACTCCATTGCGATCCGCTTTAGAAAACCGAGATGATTCCCACAGACACTGCCCTATTTTACCTTGGGTTCAACCAAAGGAGAATTTGTTTATATGTTTTCATAGTGTGGGATGTTGGGTAACTGTCTATCATGTCGAAGCGAGATTTAGTGGAAACCATCTAACAAGGCATTCCTTTCTCCCTTGTGGTGTAGGCAGCCTTTTCTGATTTCCTACAGAGAAGTTCTAGAGATCTATCTAAACACGTCAAAGTTGTCGTAAGTATTGGCTATATAGCTTCATTTAATTTGTGAGTGAATATAAATGTGTCACACCCCCATGTCATTTGATGTGCATATTAATCCCTGGGCTACATATAGTTTGCAAATCATGTAGAGGTGCTCATTTGCCCATGTATATATGTTCTCACCATGTGCCAGTGTCTTTGTCGCTGGAGTGAAATAAAGCCTAAGTTTTACTCCTGGGGAAATCATGAAGAAGGACACATAGTCACTGCAGACTCATAGCCCATTATTCAGTCATACATACAGAACGCTGACAGCACAAGAGTAATCCTACTTAGGAGAGGATTCAGAAAATCTTCCTGGAAGAAATGCCTCGAGCTGGCTCTTCCCGTATAAACAAATACTCGACCAACAATTGTTCCAGATCTTTTCCGAGGAATCTCCATTTTAGAACAAACACTTACATTATCCTGACTTTGCTCTCCAGCCCGGTGAAGGCTCCTCACACTGAGTGGACCCTTGATGCTATTTCTTTTTAAGTCTCTAATCCACATTATGTCTCCATTGGAGGCAAACAAAAAAGAGATAAAATTGTCTTTGTCTAGGTGGTACATTCTAATATACTATAAAGTCAGATAAGAAAAACAAACCATTTCTTGTAATAACTGAGATTATGAAGAGATGAATATAGCTTAGATTTAACGATACTAGGCTGGGCACAGTGGCTGCTGTAGTTATCCCAACTATTTGGAAGGCCGAGCTGGAAGGGATATATATTCAAGGCCAGCAACCAGCCTGCACAGCTTTGTGAGAACCTATCTCAAAAGAGGGGGAAAGTGGAAAATTACAGAAATCTGATAGGCAAAGCTGTTGGTGCTGCTGTGTCAGTATTAATATCTTCCCTGATTTGGATCTCTTACTAAATTTTACTGTAGAATTCCTATGTCTTTTCATTGTAACCATCTGACTACTCAGAGCATTGTATGATTTCAGCTGCTTATCACAAAAGCATAAAGTCTGTAACCTATAGCAAAATATGCATGGAAGATGAACCCCTGAAATCAGCTGAGACAAGGGTTAAGTATTACTGTTATTAGCTAACCTTGGCATCCCTTCAGGGAATTTCAGCTCCTGTACAGGGCAGTGTCATTTCTGGCCCCTGGGGTGAGGCACAGTTTCATGGTGGAAGAGATCAGAGTGAGAGGCGCAGAGCTTCTCATCGTGGAAGCAATTTGGGGTATGAGGACCAGATCTCACTTCATGGTGGTCAAGAAGGGAGGATGGGAAGAAGAAGCAAATTAAAAGAGGGGAGGGAGAAAAGGGAGTGAGAAGCTGACAGATGAATGGCAGACCAGGACAAGATTCACTCATCAAGGCAAACCCTGAGTGAACTACTTCCAAATAGGCCACACCCCCTAACATCTCATTCAGTGTGAACTGAGCAATGTAGTAGCATGCTCATGAGTCAGTCACACCTCAGTGCTGTCACCAGCTTGGGCCCAAGGCCCTTACACATGAGCCTTTTTGAGGGACACTTCACAGCCTAACTGTAGCAGATGTAAGTGAAACAGACCATCTTATCTTTGTCACGGGTGAAGTCAGTATCTTCGATGTAACATAGAAGTCAGGTGGTTATAAAGTGTGTGTATATGAATTATAGACTGAGAAAGCACAAAGCACTAAGAGAACCTTACATATAACACTATTTACTGTCTATTGTTCGATTCATCAACACACAAGAACAGATACAGAACTGTATTTGCAAGCAGATGTTTTCTCTTCTGTGTGTTTGAATCAGGGAAAATACCAATTACTGATGTTCTAGAGAACTGTACATTTTCATGCATTGATTTGTTAAAATAGTAAAATACTATATGTTGTATGGTATATATCCTTAAATAATATAAGCTCCTATAATCCCTTTCATATTGCCCAGGAGGAAAGGCTAGACTATTTAAAAATGAGTTTGGGTCCAAGTTTAGTGGTTATTTACTATAATATTTCTTTTCTGTAATGTATGTAGCGACACAGCATAGCATCCTGTATTTTAATGTAAGGGTTTTTGTTGTTGTTTATACTCTTGAACTTTCATCATTTAAATAAAATTACTCTATGCTTCCTTCATGGGCATAGTCATCTATGGATCTGCTTAAAACCCTTAAGTGATTTGGAAGATCTTAGGTTATTGAGAGTACTCTAAAACATCTTTGGTCCTATCTAGAACTTGATTTCTTTCTGAATTACTTCTGGAAATCTTTTATTTAAGGCCATATGATTTCCTGGAGATTATTTTTGAGATAATTTGTGAAAATTGGGATATATTCAGATCAGGTGGGAAAAGAATGTGGTGCTTGGAAGTTTGCAAAATCATTATACTTAGACTGAAACTCTGCTGGAAGAAATCTTTATAAAATTGAGGTGAGTTTGGAATGCTTTTTTTCCTCCTTCCAAAGGAAAATAAAATGATGGAATTCTGGGTCGGAGTGTTGAGGGGGAAGAAAGCAAACTGAAAAGGCAGCTTCCACTGTGGCACTGTGTCCTTAACTCTGATTAGTCTTCTCTTCTGGACTTTGTCACCTGTGGAGATGGAAAAGGTGGAATGGAAGCTTTTTTGTGACTCGATGGAGGACAGAGCTCATGGGGAAAACACCAGGTGATCAAGGAAGCTGTGGACAAGGCTACCAAGGCTAATGTTCAAGGGGCCCTAGAGACCAAGTTCATGTCCAAATTCCAGCAGCTTAATCTCAGAAGTGCCACCCAGTTTTGTAAGAGATTAGATGTGTAAGAGAGAATCACTTAACAGTTTTGTCTTCTCGACCCAGTGTTAATCGTTAATATACACATTCGCATCTGTACAGGATTTATGAACTCTAACATCTGGCTTCACCCTGTAGCAAACAAAAGAGGATCTGGGACAGGTAATATCGATTTAGACTCCTTGAACACTTTCAGATAATGTATTCAAAACATGTTCCCTAGTTTCAAAATAAACATTATCTGAGGCAGGAAAGAAAACAAATGGCCATCCATGTTCACACTGTTTGGATCAATTGATTACAGTGGGGAATGCTGCTGGCTTCATCTTTGAAGTGTGTGTAGTCTTTAAATGTTAGAACTATCTGTCTACATGTCCAATAATAGTTCAAGGCAATGGATGACAGTATCTGCTTTGAATACTGGAACAGTGAAAAACTGTTCTGGTCGAGTGGAAGTTTTATTTTCATATTAAATCAGATCAACACAGAGTTAAGGCCTCGTTCTACCAGAGTTTAGGCTCAGCATAAATTTCAGTCATAGTAGCTGGCATTCACTCGGGGGCAAGGGAAAGAATTCCATGCTCTATGCTGTTGTCAACCCAGTTATCTTGGATGAGGCTGTCAGACACATGACTACTTCAGAAGCCCCGCTTTCTCTGCTTTGGTTGCTGCAGTGTGATGGGACAGATCTCACCCCAAAGATCCAGGACCTGAAGTTCCAGTGTATAGTATTTTTAAATATACCCAGGTAAGCTCTGTTCATACTGTTGCCTTTGTTTGGTGTGAACTCTGTTTGATATGGGGCATCTGATTTTATAAGTGAACCCTCCCAGGTATAGGCCATGAAACCCCCAATTTTAATGTCTTGCCAAAGGTTCCACGTCTGCTCATTTTCTTCTCCTGCTTGGCTTGTTCCCTGTGGGAGGTGGTTTTGCCCACGATGCAGAATCCATTATCTATAGTCTCCTGGCCTTGAGAGACTCGGGCCCTTTTCTCCAGCATTTTCATTCAATTCCCATTTCTGCCCCACACCCCCACTTTTTGACAGCCTCCAGGGAAGACAGATGTGAGCAGAACCCTGTTTTCAGTTTCTCAGAAGCTGTTAGGAACACATCCAGCCTGATGAGTATGGATTTCTCTGCCAGATGCCAGACTCCATCAGAGAGACATGTTATAGATGGGGTTTAAATGCTCCTTGGAACCATTACGCACCACGAGAAAGGAACACTTAGGAGTGACTATTTTTAAAATAAGCATATTACTTCAGTGGCATAAAATTCGATTTTAGGTTCCCAAGCCAAGATGTTGGAAGGCACAGGCCTATAACCCTTCATCACTTGCTACCAGCCAACTCAGACATCAGTCTGCAAATAAGCTGGCCTTGCTGAATTCAAGGAAATGAGAGATCTATAGAAATTTGTGTCTGGGAAAACCTGTATGGGTCTCCAGGTTATGCTTGGCAATGCTCAGGACACTCAGTTCCAAGCTGTGTCAGGAGCCTGGGTCAGCATGGGTTTAGTAGAAGGCTTACAGATGTGGAGGAAATACCGCTGCTAATGCCTCCTGTCATGTTTTCCTCTTTGCTCTTGACTCTCTCCCCTTCTGTGTCTGTTTCTCTGATTTTACAATTTTATTTATTCTTTTCCATCCCTCTCCTAACCCCTCTCATTTCCCCTTCCTCCTTCCCTCCCTTTCTTTTGAGAGAAGATCTGTCTGTATAATTCACAATTCTTCTACCTTAGCCTCTTGTGTACTGTAACAGCAGGCATACACCGCCACACATAGCATATTGTATTTCTTCCCTTTACTTACTTATTTAGAGTACTTTTCATGTATTCTTTTCCTTTGGGAATTTCTTGTCTTAATTTTATATGTAGTGGTAAATGCTACCCCATTAGTTCATGTTCTCTTTTACATTAGCATGGTTTTATCTTCGTTTAAGACAATTATTGAATTATTAAAGATAATTTGTAACATAGAAAACATGAACCCTAGAGTGCGACATGTTGGCAAATGATGATGGAAGGAAAAAGACAGGTACCACAGGATGATTTTGTTGTAAAATTGTGGCTTATTTTTGCAAGGTTACAATATTTTGAAGACAAGTTCATTTTTTCATAGTTGAAGGTATACACCAAGGACAGCAAACTGTTCTTGAATTTAATAAATCTCAAGCTCCACTAGAAATGATTTTTAAAAGCGTATTTATAAACTGACACAGAACCATAAACTATCTGTGTAGTCATGAGCATACTGTTCAAGACCTTGGTACATATATACTTTAACCCTGTCATTTCCTAGAGCTAATCAGGAGAAGACTAGGTTGCTTTCACTGATTCTGACCTTGTTCACAGATATTGTGCTGGCACAATGCCTTGGGGAAACCCTGGAGATCACCATGACTTTGAACCCCAGCGTCATGATGACGGCTACATTGAAGTCATTGGATTCACCATGGCCTCGTTGGTGAGCAATATCTCAGTTTTATTGAAAACTCTTGTGTGTATGCCACAAATAATTTTAACTGCTCACAAATAAAAATTAGTTTTCTCCAGTGGAGTCCCACTGGGTGTACACACTTCACTCAAGGCTAGGTCACATGCCCAAGAGTAGATGGCCAACACAAAACCAACTCCATAGTGCTTTTGGAGGGTTTTTGTTTCACAATGCTTTGTCTGAGCATTTTCTTTTTTTCACTTTCTAAGTCTTTGGTTATATATTTTGGTTTCTGGTTTTGTGTTTTTATGGAATTTCTGTGTGTGCAAATGTGGGTGGTCTCTGCATCTGTATTTGTTTCTTGTGCTTCTCATTTGGCTTTTTTCCTGTTTGTGTTGTGCTATTCTTTTTATTTTATTTTATTTTTTAGATGTCTGTTTTCTAATTAGAGAGAGAAAGAAAGGACATGGACATGAGTGGGTGAGGAGGATCTGGGAAGGGTTGGGTATATGTGAAATTGATCAGAATATATTGTATGAAAAACTATTTTCAAATAGAAGGTTTTTTTTTCTCTTGGTTTACCAACTTATAAACTCTACTTAGCACAGAAATGCTTAGGATAAACATGAGTGGTATCATTTGTCTGAAAATCTATTCATAATCATCTGAAGTTCAGAAATAAATCAGTTTAATTCTGTTTTACTTTCTGGAAAGAATGACATTTTGTGTTTATGAAGCCATCATGGCAGAGACATATTGCAGCATTTACACAAAACCACAGCACCTGACTGTTGCTTTTCCTGCCTTACTGAGGAAATGAATATTTAACTTAAAAACTCTTTTTTTACATGCAGTTTCATCATGTTCACTTAGCATGAGATGACTGTATGGATTATTACAAAGTGCTTACAGGTGGGAAAGACATTATAATCACCTTAGTACTGTCCAGTTACTGCATACTTTATTCATACTTTAATATTGCATATTCAAACTGTTCAACTTACTCAATCAGGGTTGACCAATTAAGAATTATGAAAACTACTTATGTTATGTTGTATTATAGAAATTATTACATAAACTCATATTTTGTACAACAAGTCAAAATAAAGTCTCCACTTGTGCCTTTGGGATAGCGCTGGCTTACGCTGGCCCTTATCCACAAAAGGTCAGGAGGTTGTACTTTAATAAACAAAAGCACAGCTGTCTTTGTTTTTTTCCCTGTTGCTGTGATAAAACACCCTGGCAGAAGGAACCCTGGGGAAAAGTGTTTGTTTCAGCTCATAGTTCGAGGGTAAGGTCCATCATGGCAGAGAAGTAAAGGCAGCAGGCAGAAACTTGAAGCTGCTGGTCACACTGCATGTTGACTGAGGAAGCAGAGAGCAGTAAACACAGCTGCTCCTCAGCCCCTTTCTCCACTTAATACTGTCCAAGGTCTCAGCCAGGGACAGTGAACTGGCTGTAGATGGGTCTTCTGGCTTTAATTAATGCAGCATAATCACTCCAGCATCATGCCCAGATGATGACATCCCAGGTGATGAGAGATTGTCAAATTGACAATGAACATAGGTCTCTTTTTACCCACCTTGTGAATGACAGTGGTTTCTTCCTCAATAACCTCAAACTGAAGCACTTTAACACAGTAACCTATTGTGGCTATGGCAAGAACCTGTCATTTCAATTGATAATGTCCCTAAAAGTGAGACTAACCTTTTCATCAGCAGTTGAAAGGGAAGATGCCAGGACAGGCAAAATGAAAAATCAGCTTCCAAGAAGGAGGGAGATGGACTAAAGGATTAAAGTATGTGTGGATTTACTTTTGAGAGTTGATGTTCATAGAGCATCCTTTATCACCAAGGCTTTCTGAGCTAATAAAAAGGACAAAACAGGATTGAATTTAAAAAGTATATGTTCAAGGAAAAACTATTTGAGGTGACAAGGCTGTGTTGGTGTTATCTACCTCCCCCCCAAACACCCTTCCTGGGTTTTTTCTTACTTACATATACTTTGAAACAGTGAAAGCTGTTTGAAATATATATATATATATATATATATATATATATATATATATATATGCAGAAAGCCAATAAATTATTATACAATAGAAAACATTAGATTGCAATCTTGAAGATTAGTATGTCAGGCCATAAAGATATATCTCATGTCCCATGATGTAGGGAATTAAATGCATCTGTGCATGCATGCATAGATAGATGGCTGGATGGTCAAAACAAATAACAAAAAAATAAACAACAAAAAAAAGATGTTGTCTGGGTGATGATAATCCTTTACCAGGGCCTGAGTGGCCAAAAGGGATGTTCCTCACTTTCTCTCTGTGCTCAAGATCAAGGTTTATACCCTTAGCTGGGGGTATTAGCCACTTTTCTATTGCTGTGTTAAAATACCATGTCCAAAAGTCACTTCAGGAATAAAGGGCTTATTTTAGCTAACGATTCCTGAGCAAAAGAGACCATCATGGCAGGGAAGGCACAGCATGACAGAGGAGCAGGAAACTGGCTGCTGATATTTTCATAATGGTTTATTTATTTACACGTTTATTTTTAAATGTGTGTGTTTAAACGAGTGTGTGTGTGTGTGTGTGTGTGTGTGTGTGTGTGTGTGTGTGTGTGTGTGTACATGTGTGGGCACATTTGTGGATGGCTATGTGAGTACATGGGCTGACATTGGATCCTTCCTCATGAGGTTGCTCTCCACTTTGTTTCCTGAGGCAGGGTCTCTAGCTGCACTCCGAGTCTCCTCATCAGGCTACTCTAGATAACCAGCTAGTTTTGAGGAGTGCCCTGTCTCCTGAACAATGGATCACCAATAGATTACCACACCGGCCTTAGCACTTAATGTGGATGCTGGGATCTGATCCTTGGTCTTTGTGCATGGCAAGCTCTTTATCCACATAGCCATCTACCAGACTCTCAAATGTTCTTTAAATAAATACTTTGATGAGAATTTTAAGTTTAAAGCAGACAAAATGGGTACTGGAGAGATGCCTCAGAGGTTAAGATTATGTGTTGCTCTTAGAGGACACAAGATCTGTTCCCAGCACCCACACAAACTCCAGCTCCAGAGGGATCTGACACTTCTTTCCTCTGTGGGCACATGCCCGTACTCTCCATAGACACACACTTGTGTACATAATAAAAATAAACTAAAACAACAGGCAAAGGAAGAGGAGAAAGCCCCAAGTGTCACAACACTCAGCCTTTACAATGGCTACTCATACACAATCTTAAATCCTTCTCCCCAGTTTTAATTTGAAATGAATCCCACATTATGTTATTTAACCCACAGATATCTCTGAGTGATTTTGACAATATGTTTTCTTTAATAAATGAGAACCACAGTAATATTACGTGAAAATCAGTGAAACCAGGCAGGACCGACTATGTGCCTGGAGCTCAGCCTTCACTGGGCTCTTAAGTAACACTTGCTTTCTTATGACCAGTTGGCAGGTTTACAGAGTCTCTATATGTTCCATCTTAACTCTTACTCCTCTCGATTATTTATTGGTCAAACCAGGCCATTGTTTCTTGGCATTTCTGAGTTTGAATTTCCTGAAGCATCACTTAAGTGTCCTTCTGTCCTCTCTGGTCCCTGTCTTCCACATGCATGTCCTTATAAAATGGCATTGATAAACACTCCTAGTACAAATGTCCAAAGTATAAATGTTTTTCATAGACCAAATTCAGACTTTTCAAAGTCTCAATGTAGTTCATTTCAAAAACCTTTGATTTCATTGCTGAAGTCTGCATAATATTCCAAAATCCAAAAATAAGAAAAAGAAATACCCCTGAAACTCAAAACATTCCTGACCCAAACATTTTGGATAAGGAAAATTCAGCCTGGATTTGGGTCTATGAACTGAACAAATAGTAGGAATTTACTCCAAATCTGCTTTGTAGGCCATAATTTTCTTCCAGATCGGAGTGGATAGTATGTGGCTCAATTCTTTTTTTTTTTTTTTTTTTTTTTTTTTTTTTTTTTTTTGTTCTTTGTCCTGGCTGGGTCCCGCTGCCCTTGAGCTCCCAAATAAACAGAGGCTATATTAATTATTAAATTGTTGGCCAGTGACTAGGGCTTCTTATTGGTGAGCTCTGTCTTATTTATTAACCCATAATTACTAATCTGTGTATTTCCACGTGGTCTTGGCTTCCTGGAGAAAGCCGGACCTGCAACTCCTTTTCCTGCTACATCACAACTGCCTTCTTCCTACACTTCCCAGAATTCTCCTCGTCTGGTAGCCCCTGACTATCCTTCCTGCCTGGCCACTAGCCAAACAATGCTTTATTCATCAACCAATAAGAGAAACATATACACAGAAGGACATCCACCCCACCCCCATCAGTCAGCGGATACTAATGCTTATTTACTGGATCCCATAATAATTGGGCCTTGCAAAATAACAACATGTTAGTTCTGAAATATATCTATCAAGTGGGATATTTCAAGAAAGAGAAATTCCTTCTCACCTTCTATTTGGTCATTTAGATACATGCTTCAGCAGGGTGGCCATTCTTATTTTCATGACAAGTTGGTTCATTGGCATCTCAGATAGAGAGTAGATTTTAAACAGACTTGAACTGTCTGTGCTCTTCTCCTTGAGTCTGATTTGGCTTGTGAATTTGTTGATGAATCAAGGACAGTGGGTGGCTGGAGAGATGGCTGAGGAATTTGTCTCCCCAGAACCTATGTAGAATGTGCCTGTAATTCTAGTACAAAGGAAGCAGAGAGGATTGAAAAGCCTTGCTGGCCAGCCAGTTGGGTCAAATGGATGATCTCTAGGTTCAATACAAGCCTCTGATTCAGAAAATAGTTAGTGAGAGAGGAAGACATCCTATAGAAACTGTCTGGTCTCTGTGTACATTCACGCACTTATACATTTGTTCTCTCTCTCTCTGTCTCTCTCTCTCTCTTTCACACACACACACATACATACACACAAACACAAAAGTGTGATATTGTACAACTTCTGTGGCTGAACCAACCATAAAAGTCCATGAAGCATTTAGGAAGTGGAC